CACTGTTGTCCCCAACCTAGTTGATAATGAAGATCACTGTAGTCCCTTTGCATTGTTGATAGTGAAGATCACTGTAGTCCCAAGCCTCGCTCATAGTTAAGATCACAGTAGTCCCCAACCTCGCTGATAGTGAAGATCACTGAAGTCCCAAGCCTTGTTGAGACTGAAGATCACTGTAGTCTCCCAGCCTCGTTGATAGTGAAGATCCCTGTAGTCCCCCAGCCTCGTTGATACTGAAGATCGCAGTAGTCCGCAGCCTCGTTGATAATGAAGATCACTGTTGTCCCAAACATTGTTGATAGTGAAGATCACTGTAGTCCCCAGCGTTGCTGATAGTGAAGATCCCTGTAGTCCCCCAGCCTTGTTGATAGTGAAGATCAGAGTAGTACCTTACCTTGTTGATAGTGAAGAACATTGTAGCCCCCAGCATTGTTGATAATGAAGATCAGTGTAGTCCCCTTGCCTTGTTGATAGTAAAGATCACTCTAGTCTCTAGCCTTGCTGGTAGTGAATATCCCTGTAGTCACCAAGCCTCGTTGATAGTGAAGATCACTTTAGTCCCCAGCCTTGCTGATAGTGAAGATCACTCCTAGTCGCTAGCCTTGTTGATAGAGAAGATCACTGCAGTCTTCCAGCGTTGTTTATAGTGAAGATCACTGTAGTGCCCCAGAATCGCTGATAGTGAAGATAACTCTAGTCTCCCAGCGTTGTTGATTTTGAAGATCACTGTAGTCGTCCAGCCTTGTTGATAATGAAGATCAATGTAGTCCCCTCGCCTTGTTGATAGTGAAGATCACTGTAGTCTTCCAGCGATGTTGACAGTGAAGATCACTGTAGTTCCCCAGCCTCGCTGATAGTGAAAATCAGTGTAGTCCCCCAGTCTTATTGATAGTGAAGAACACTGTAATCCCCCAGCCTTGTTGATAGCAAAGATCACTCCTAGTCGCTAGCCTTGTTGATAGAGAAGATCACTGCAGTCTTCCAGCGTTGTTTATAGTGAAGATCACTGTAGTGCCCCAGAATCGCTGATAGTGAAGATCACTCTAGTCTCCCAGCGTTGTTGATTTTGAAGATAACTGTAGTCCTCCAGCCTTGTTGATAATGAAGATCAATGTAGTCCCCTCGCCTTGTTGATAGTGAAGATCACTGTAGTCTTCCAGCGATGTTGACAGTGAAGATCACTGTAGTTCCCCAGTCTCGCTGATAGTGAAAATCAGTGTAGTCTCCCAGCCTTGTTGATAGTGAAGATCACTCTAGTCACTACCCTCGCTAATAGTTAAGATCACTGTAGCCCTTTACCTCGTTGATAGTGAAGATCACTGTAGTTCCCTAGCCTTATTGGTAGTGAAGATCACTGTAGTCCCCAGCCTTGTTGATAATGAGGATCACTGTATTCCCCAGCAGCTTTGCTGATAGTGAAGATCACTGTAGTGCCCAGTATTATTGATAGTGAAGATCACTGTTGTCTTCCAGAATCGTTGATGGTGAACATCACTGTAGTCTCCCAGCCTCGTTGATAGTGAAGATCACTGTAGCCTCCAAGCCTCGTTGATAGTGAAGGTCACTGTAGTCTCCCAGCCTCGTTGATAGTGAACATCTCTGTAGTCCCCAGCCTTTTTGATAGTAAAGATCACTGTAGTCCCCCAGCCTCGTTAATAGTGAAGATCACTGTAATCCCCAGCCTCGTTGATATTGAAGATTTCTGTAGTCCCCAGCCTTGTTGATAGTGAGTAATCACTGTTGTCTGCGGCCTTGTCGATAGCCCAGCCTTGCTGATAGTGAAGATCACTGTAATCTCCCAGCCTCGTTTATAGTGGAGATCACTCAAGTGCCCAGCCTCGTTGATAATGATGATAACTGTAGTCTCCTAGCGTTGTTGATAGTGAAGATCACTGTGGTCTCCCTGCCTCGTTGATAGTGACGATCACTGTAGTCTGCCAGCCTCGTGGATAGTGTAGATCTTTACAGTCTCCCAGCCTCGTTGATAGTGAAGACCACTGTAGTCCCTAGCCTTGTTGATAGTGAAGATCACTGTAGTCCTCCAGCCTAGTTAATAGTGAAGATCACTGTAGTCCCCTGCTTCGTTGAGAGTGAAGATCACTGTCGTCCCCAGCCTTGTTGATAGTGAAGATCACTGTAGTCCCCCGCCTTGTTGATAATGAAGATCACTGTAGTCCCCCAGCCTTGTTGATAGTGAAGATGACTTTAGTCCCCCAGCTTCGTTGATAGTGAAGATCACTGTAGTCCCCAGCCTTGCTGATAGTGAAGATCACTGTAGTCCCTCAGCCTCGTTGATAGTGAAAATAACTGAACTCTTCCAGCACTGTTAATAGTGAAGATCACTGTAGTCACCAGCCTCGTTGACAGTGAAGATCACTGTAGTCTCCCAGCGCCGTTGATAGTGAAGATCACTGTTGTCCCCAGCTTTGTTTGTAGTCAAGATCACTGTAGCCTCCAAGCCTCGCTGATAGTGAAGGTCACTGTAGTTTCCCAGCCTTGTTGATAGTGAAGATCTCTTTAGTACTCAGCATCGCTGATAGTGAAGATCACTGTAGTCCCCAGCGTAGCTGATAGTAAAGATCACTATAGTCCCCAAGACTTGTTGATAGTGAAGATCACTGTAATTCCCATTCTTGTTGATAGTGAAGATCACTGTAGTTTCCAGCCTTGTTGATAGTGAAGATCACTGTACTGCCCAGCCTTGTTGATAGTGAAGATCACTGTAGTCTCCCAGCCTCTTTGATGGTGAAGATCACTGTAGTCTTCCAGCCTCGTTGATAGTGAAGATCACTGTAGTCCCCAGCCATGTTGATAGTGGTGATCACTGTAGTGCCCCTGCTTCGCTGAGAGTGAAGATCACTTTGGTCCCCAGCCTTGTTGATAGTGAAGATCGCTGTAGTCCCCAGTCTCGCTGATAGTGAAGATCTCTGTAGTCCCCAGCCTCGTTGATAGAGAAGATCACTGTAGTCTTCCAGCCTCGTTGGTAGTGAAGATCACTGTAGTCTCTAAGCCTCGTTGATAGTGAAGAACACTGTACTCCCCGGCCTTGTTGAAAGTGAAGATCACTGTAGTTTCCAGCCTTGTTGATAGTGAAGATCACTGTACTGTCCAGCCTCGTTGACAGTGAAGATCACTGTAGTCTCCCAGCCTCGTTGATAGTGAAGATCACTGTAGTCTTCCAGCCTCGTTGATAGTGAAGATCACTGTAGTCCCCAGCCATGTTGATAGTGATGATCACTGTAGTGCCCCTGCTTCGCTGAGAGTGAAGATCACTTTGGTCCCCAGCCTTGTTGATAGTGAAGATCGCTGTAGTCCCCAGCCTCGCTGATAGTGAAGATCTCTCTAGTCCCCAGCCTCGTTGATAGAGTAGATCACTGTAGTCTTCCAGCCTCGTTGGTAGTGAAGATCACTGTAGTCTCTAAGCCTCGTTGATAGTGAAGATCACTGTACTCCCCGGCCTTGTTGAAAGTGAAGATCACTGTAGTCCCCAGCCTTGTTGATAGAGAAGATCACTGTAGTCTCCATCGTTGTTGATAGTTAAGATCACTGTAGTCCCCAGCGTCGTTGAAAGTGAAGATCACTCTAGTTCCCAGCCTCGTTGATAGTGAAGATCTCTGTAATCCCTAGCCTTCCTGATAGTGAAGATCACTCTAGTCCCCAGCCTCGTTAATAGTGAAGGTGACTGTAGTCCCCAGCCTTGTTGATAGTGAAGATCACTGTAGTCCCCAGCCTTCCTGATAGTGAAGATCACTGTATTCCCCCAGCCTCTTTAATAGTGAAGATCACTGTAGTCCCTTTGCCTTGTTGATAGTGAAGATCACTGTAGTCCCAAGCCTCGCTCATAGTAAAGATCACTGTAGTCCCCAACCTCGCTGATAGTGAAGATCACTGAAGTCCCAAGCCTTGTTGAGACTGAAGATCACTGTAGTCTCCCAGCCTCGTTGATAGTGAAGATCACTGCAGTCTTCCAGCCTCGTTGACAGTGAAGATTACTGTAATCCCCAGCTATGTTGATAGTGATGATCACTGTAGTACCCCAGCTTCGCTGAGAGCGAAGATCACTGTAGTCCCCCCGCCTTGTTGATAGTGAAGATCTCTTTAGTACTCAGCATCGCTGATAGTGAAGATCACTGTAGTCCCCAGCGTAGCTGATAGTAAAGATCACTATAGTCCCCAAGACTTGTTGATAGTGAAGATCACTGTAATTCCCATTCTTGTTGATAGTGAAGATCACTGTAGTTTCCAGCCTTGTTGATAGTGAAGATCACTGTACTGCCCAGCCTTGTTGATAGTGAAGATCACTGTAGTCTCCCAGCCTCTTTGATGGTGAAGATCACTGTAGTCTTCCAGCCTCGTTGATAGTGAAGATCACTGTAGTCCCCAGCCATGTTGATAGTGATTATCACTGTAGTGCCCCTTCTTCGCTGAGAGTGAAGATCACTTTGGTCCCCAGCCTTGTTGATAGTGAAGATCGCTGTAGTCCCCAGCCTCGCTGATAGTGAAGATCACTGTAGTCCCCAGCCTTGTTGATAATGAAGATTACTGTAGTCCCCAGCCTTGTTGATAGTGAAGATCACTGTAGTCCCCAGCCTTGTTGATAGTGAAGATCACTGTAGTCCCCAGCCTTGTTGATAGTGAAGATCACTGTAGTCCCCAGCCTCGCTGGTAGTGAAGATCACTGTAGTCCCCAGCCTCGTTGATAGTGAAGATCACTGTAGTACCCAGCCTCGTTGATAGTGAAGATCACTGCTGTCCCCAACATTGTTGATAGTGAAGATCACTGTAGTCCCCAGCCTCGTTGATAGTGAAAATCACTGTAGTACCCAGCCTCGTTGATAGTGAAGATCACTGCAGTCCCCAACATTGTTGATAGTGAAGATCACTGTAGTCCCCAGCCTCGTTGATAGTGATCACTGTAGTCTTGAAAAATATTGTGTATATAGTCGTGCAGTCATCACATTGTGTCCTTATATTGTATCATACAATTTGTATTGATCCAGCCACTGGATGGCGAAGTGTCGACAAATATAGGTTTAATAACATAGGTATATACAGGATGGTGTTGCCCAATGGTGCTCTACCGGAAGTGGTGCTGGGAGAGCACGACCGCAGCCGCGGTGATGAGACGCCGTACACACAGGTAGTGCCCGCAGTCCGTGTTATACCACACGACAAGTATGGTCACTCTACCAGCCCTAAAGACCACGATATTGGTCTTATAGAGCTTGCCACTGAGGTCGACCTGGAGGTGACACGTAACATCGCACCTGCCTGCCCTCCTGACCAGGATCTTAATTATGACAACCTCACAGTCACTGTCTCCGGGTAAGTTCAGACACAGGTGCACATATGTACACAGGTGCACATATGTACACAGGTGCACATATGTACACAGATCTCACATAACCTATTTTCAGGGTTCGAAGTGTCGTGTGTCGTGTTGTGTATTAAGAACATAAAAATAGAATAACACTGCAGCAGGCCTACTGGCCCATACAAGGCAGGTCCTTCTCAAAATCACGCTTTCCAACCCAAGGCTACGTAAAAATTTGCTTCAGTACTTCAGGTACTGAAGCAGCCACTGCAGGGCGAAACGTTTCCTCAATAATTATTACGAGATATTACAAAAATGATTTATTCTTCAACTTGTGGGGTTTTTAAACCGTTTACAACACCCGGGGTTAAGTTAGCTAAGGACAGGGAAGGGGAGACTATATAAATCTGTTAATCATAAATATAACGAAAATTAAATAACTTAGATAAATGGGTGAGATATATCTGGCGAGGCAGCAGCTAGACACTGTCAGGGAACCTTCAAGTGGCGAGGCAGCAGCTAGACACTGTCAGGGAACCTTCAAGTGGCGAGGCAGCAGCTAGACACTGTCAGGGAACCTTCAAGTGGCGGGGCAGCAGCTAGACACTGTCAGGGAACCTTCAAGTGGCGAGGCAGCAGCTAGACACTGTCAGGGAACCTTCAAGTGGCGAGGCAGCAGCTAGACACTGTCAGGGAACCTTCAAGTGGCGAGGCAGCAGCTAGACACTGTCAGGGAACCTTCAAGTGGCGAGGCAGCAGCTAGACACTGTCAGGGAACCTTCAAGTGGCGAGGCAGCAGCTAGACACTGTCAGGGAACCTTCAAGTGGCGAGGCAGCAGCTAGACACTGTCAGGGAACCTTCAAGTGGCAGAGGCAGCAGCTAGACACTGTCAGGGAACCTTCAAGTGGCGAGGCAGCAGCAGACACTGTCAGGGAACCTTCAAGTGGCGGAGGCAGCAGCTAGACACTGTCAGGGAACCTTCAAGTGGCGGGGCAGCAGCTAGACACTGTCAGGGAACCTTCAAGTGGCGGGGCAGCAGCTAGACACTGTCAGGGAACCTTTAAGTGGCGTAAGTGGCGAGGCAGCAGCCAGTCACTGTCAGGGAACCTTCAAGTGGCGAGGCAGCAGCTAGACACTGTCAGGGAACCTTCAAGTGGCGGGGCAGCAGCTAGACACTGTCAGGGAACCTTCAAGTGGCGAGGCAGCAGCTAGACACTGTCAGGGAACCTTCAAGTGGCGAGGCAGCAGCTAGACACTGTCAGGGAACCTTCAAGTGGCGAGGCAGCAGCTAGACACTGTCAGGGAACTTCAAGTGGCGAGGCAGCAGCTAGACACTGTCAGGGAACCTTCAAGTGGCGAGGCAGCAGCTAGACACTGTCAGGGAACCTTCAAGTGGCGAGGCAGCAGCCAGACACTGTCAGGGAACCTTCAAGTGGCGAGGCAGCAGCTAGACACTGTCAGGGAACCTTCAAGTGGCGGGGCAGCAGCTAGACACTGTCAGGGAACCTTCAAGTGGCGGGGCAGCAGCTAGACACTGTCAGGGAACCTTTAAGTGGCGTAAGTGGCGAGGCAGCAGCCAGTCACTGTCAGGGAACCTTCAAGTGGCGAGGCAGCAGCTAGACACTGTCAGGGAACCTTCAAGTGGCGGGGCAGCAGCTAGACACTGTCAGGGAACCTTCAAGTGGCGAGGCAGCAGCTAGACGCTGTCAGGGAACCTTCAAGTGGCGAGGCAGCAGCTAGACACTGTCAGGGAACCTTCAAGTGGCGAGGCAGCAGCTAGACACTGTCAGGGAACCTTCAAGTGGCGAGGCAGCAGCTAGACACTGTCAGGGAACCTTCAAGTGGCGAGGCAGCAGCTAGACACTGTCAGGGAACCTTCAAGTGGCGAGGCAGCAGCCAGACACTGTCAGGGAACCTTCAAGTGGCGAGGCAGCAGCTAGACACTGTCAGGGAACCTTCAAGTGGCGGGGCAGCAGCTAGACACTGTCAGGGAACCTTCAAGTGGCGGGGCAGCAGCTAGACACTGTCAGGGAACCTTTAAGTGGCGTAAGTGGCGAGGCAGCAGCCAGTCACTGTCAGGGAACCTTCAAGTGGCGAGGCAGCAGCTAGACACTGTCAGGGAACCTTCAAGTGGGGGCAGCAGTAGACACTGTCAGGGAACCTTCAAGTTGCGGGCAGCAGCTAGACACTGTCAGGGAACCTTTAAGTGGCGTAAGTGGCGAGGCAGCAGCCAGTCACTGTCAGGGAACCTTCAAGTGGCGAGGCAGCAGCCAGACACTGTCAGGGAACCTTCAAGTGGCGAGGCAGCAGCCAGACACTGTCAGGGAGACTGAGATATAACTGGCGAGGCAGTAGCCAGACACTGCCAAGAAATCTTCAAGTGGTGAGGCAGCAGTCAGACACTGTCAGGGAACCTTCAAGTTGCGAGGCAGCAGCCAGACACTGTCAGGGAACCTTCAAGTGGCGAGGCAGCAGCCAGACATTGTCAGGGAGACTGAGATATATCTGGCGAGGCAGCAGCCAGACACTGTCAGGAAATATTCAAGTGGCGAGGCAGCAGCCAGACAATGTCAGGGAACCTTCAAGTGGCGAGGCAGCAGCCAGAAGCTGTCAGGGAACCTTCAAGTGGCGAGGCAGCAGCCAGACACTGTCAGGGAGACTGAGATATATCTGGCGAGGCAGCAGACAGACACTGTCAGGAAACCTTCAAGTGGCGAGGCAGCAGCTAGACACTGTCAGGGAACCTCAAGTGGCGAGGCAGCAGACCAGACACTGTCAGGGAGACTGAGATTATCTGGCGAGGCAGCAGACAGACACTGTCAGGGAACCTTCAAGTGGCGAGGCAGCAGACAGACACTGTCAGGAAACCTTCAAGTGGCGAGGCAGCAGCTAGACACTGTCAGGGAACCTTCAAGTGGCGACGGCAGCAGCTAGACACGTCAGGAACCTTCAAGTGGCGAGGCAGCAGACTAGACACTGTCAGGGAACCTTAAAGTGGCGAGGCAGCAGCTAGACACTGTTGGGGAACCTTCAAGTGGCGAGGCAGCAGCCAGACACTGTCAGGGAGACTGAGATATATCTGGCGAGGCAGCAGACAGACACTGTCAGGAAACCTTCAAGTGGCGAGGCAGCAGCTAGACACTGTCAGGGAACCTTCAAGTGGCGAGGCAGCAGCTAGACACTGTCAGGGAACCTTCAAGTGGCGAGGCAGCAGCTAGACACTGTCAGGGAACCTTCAAGTGGCGAGGCAGCAGCCAGACACTGTCAGGGAGACTGAGATATATCTGGCGAGGCAGCAGACAGACACTGTCAGGAAACCTTCAAGTGGCGAGGCAGCAGCTAGACACTGTTGGGGAACCTTCAAGTGGCGAGGCAGCAGCTAGACACTGTCAGGGAACCTTCAAGTGGCGAGGCAGCAGCTAGACACTGTCAGGGAACCTTCAAGTGGCGGGGCAGTAGCTAGACACTGTCAGGGAACCTTCAAGTGGCGAGGCAGCAGCTATACACTGTCAGGGAACCTTCAAGTGGCGAGGCAGCAGCTAGACACTGTCAGGGAACCTTCAAGTGGCGAGGCAGCAGCTAGACACTGTCAGGGAACCTTCAAGTGGCGAGGCAGCAGCCAGACACTGTCAGGGAACCTTCAATTCTGTATATAAATCATCGTAGCTGAAATACGTCGATAAATACTTCAGAAAGCCAGAAGTTGATACATTAGACACTTTGGCAACCAAGTTATGTATAAGTCAGTGACTGCCCAGGTATGTGACTACTGTATCTGTCTGACCATTCAAAACCAAGAAGATTAAGAAGCGTGTGCAACAGTTAGGTATCTTTATTGACGAAACATATCGCCTACACAGTAGGCTTCATCAGTCAGATACAAAAGTATCAGTAGTAATGGAATAAATTTGATGTAATCAGTCCATCAGCCTTTGAGAAGAAGTATTTGTGGTGGTGAGTCCCTCAGCCTGGAGAAGAGTTCACCTTCATGGTCTTTGTATTTCTCTCGAGAAGCAAACTATGTAGGCCAAACTTATCGTCAGTAAACATACCCAAATGTTGTAGACGTTCCCCTGACTTACACTCCCACGTTCCTCTGACTTACACTCCCACGTTCCCCTGACTTACACTCCCAAGTTCCCCTGACTTACACTCCCAAGTTCCCCTGACTTACACTCCCAAGTTCCCCTGACTTACACTCCCAAGTTCCCCTGACTTACACTCCCACGTTCCCCTGACTTACACTCCCAAGTTCCCCTGACTTACACTCCCAAGTTCCCCTGACTTACACTCCCACGTTCCCCTGACTTACACTCCCAAGTTCCCCTGACTTACACTCCCAAGTTCCCCCTGACTTACACTCCCAAGTTTCCCCTGACTTACACTCCCACGTTCCCCTGACTTACACTCCCACGTTCCCCTGACTTACACTCCCACGTTCTCATGACTTACTCTCCCACGTTCCCCTGACTTACACTCCCACGTTCCCCTGACTTACACTCCCACGTTCCCCTGACTTACACTCCCACGTTCCCCTGACTTACACTCCCAAGTTCCCCTGACTTACACTCCCAAGTTCCCCTGACTTACACTCCCAAGTTCCCCTGACTTACACTCCCACGTTCCCCTGACTTACACTCCCACGTTCCTCTGATTTACACTCCCACGTTCCCCTGACTTACACTCCACGTTCCCCTGACTTACACTCCCACGTTCCCCTGACTTACACTCCACGTTCCCTGACTTACACTCCCACGTTCCCTGACTTACACTCCCACGTTCCCCTGACTTACACTCCCAAGTTCCCCTGACCTACACTCCACGTTCCCCTGACTTACACCCACGTTCCCCTGACTTACACTCCCACGTTCCCCTGACTTACACCCACGTTCCCCCGACTTACACTCCCACGTTCCCCTGACTTACACTCCACGTTCCCCTGACTTACACTCCCACGTTCTCATGACTTACTCTCCCACGTTCCCTGACTTACACTCCCATCGTTCCCCTGACTTACACTCCCACGTTCCCCTGACTTACACTCCCACGTTCCCATGACTTACACTCACACGTTCCCATGACTTACACTCCCACGTTCCCATGACTTACATTCCCACGTTCCCATGACTTACACTCCCACGTTCCCATGACTTACTCTCCCACGTTCCCATGACTTACACTCCCACGTTCCCATGACTTACACTCCCACGTTCCCATGATTTACACTCCCACGTTCCCATGACTTACACTCCCACGTTCCCATGACTTACACTCCCTCGTTCCCATGACTTACACTCCACGTTCCCATGACTTACACTTCCACGTTTCCATGACTTACACTCCCACGTTCATATGACTTACACTTCCATGTTCCCCTGACTTACACTTCCATGTTCCTATGACTTACAGTTCCATGTTCCTATGACTTACACTTCTATGTTCCCTGACTTTACTTCCATGTTCCTATGACTTACAGTTCCATGTTCCCCTGGCTTACACTTCCATGTTCCCCTGACTTACACTTCCATGTTCCTATGACTTACAGTTCCATGTTCCCCTGGCTTACGCTTCATGTTCCCCTGACTTACACTTCCATGTCCCCCGACTTACACTTCCATGCCCCCCTGACTTACACTCCCCCACTTACACTTCCCTGACTTACACTCCCCCTGACTTACACTTCCCCTGACTTACACTCCCCCTGACTTACACTTCAGCTGACTTACACTTCCCTAACTTACACTTCCCTGATTACACTCCCCCTGACTTACACTTCCCCTGACTTACACTTCCCCTGACTTACACTTCCCCTGACTTACACTTCCCCTGACTTACATTCAGCTGACTTACACTTTCCCTGACTTACACTTTCCCTGACTACACTTTCCGACTTACACTTCCCCTGACTTACACTTTCCCCTGACTTACACTTCCCCTGACTTACGCTTCCCCTGACTTACACTTCCCCTGACTTACACTTCCCTGACTTACACTTCCCTGATTACACTTCCTGACTTACACTCCCCCTGACTTACACTCCCCCTGACTTAACACTTCCCCTGACTTACACTTCCCCTGACATACACTTCCCCTGACTTACACTTCCCTGACTTACACTTCAGCTGACTTACACTTCCCTGACTTACACTTCCCTGACTTACACTCCCCTGACTTACACTCCCCCTGACTTACACTCCCCTGACTTACACTTCCCCTGACTTACACTTCCCCTGACTTACATTCCCTGACTTACACTTCCCTTACTTACACTTCAGCTGACTACACTTCCCCTGACTTACACTTCCCTGACTTACACTCCCCTGACTTTACACTCCCCTTGACTACACTTCCCCTGACTTACACATCCATGACTTACACTTCCCCTGACTTACACTTCCCCTGACTTACACTCCCCCTGACTTACACTTCCCCTGACTTACCTCCCCTGACTTACACTCCCCTGACTTACACTTCCCCTGACTTACACTTCCCCTGACTTACACTTCCCCTGACTTACACTTCCCCTGACTTACACTCCCCTGACTTACACTTCCCCCGACTTACACTTCCCCTGAAATTACACTCCCCCTGACTTACACTTCCCCTGACTTACACTTCCCCTAACTTACACTTCCCCTGACTTACAACTTCCCCTGACTTACACTTCCCCTGACTTACACTCCTCCTGACTTACACTCCCCTGACTTACACTCCCCTGACTTACACTTCCCTGACTTACACTTCCCCTGACTTACACTCCCCCTGACTTACCACTTCCCCTGACTTACACTTCCCTGACTTACACTTCCCCTGACTTACATTCCCCTGACTTACACTCCTCCTGACTTACACTCCCCTGACTTACACTCCCCCTGACTTACACTTCCCCTGACTTACACTTCCCTGACTTACACTTCCCCTGACTTACACTCCCCCTGACTTAACTTCCCCTGACTACACTTCCCCTGACTTACACTTCCCCTGACTTACACTTCCCCTGACTTACACTTCCCCTGACTTACACTTCCCCTGACTTACACTTCCCCTGACTTACACTTCCCTGACTTACACTTCCCCTGACTTACCTTCCCCTGACTTACACTTCCCCTGACTTACACTTCCCCTGACTTACACTTCCCCTGACTTACACTTCCCCTGACTTACACTTCCCCTGACTTACACTTCCCCTGACTTACACTTCCCCTGACTTACACTTCCCCTGACTTACACTCCCCCTGACTTACACTTTTAACGTCTGAAGATAAACATCACACTTTTTTCCATGAATTAATTAGACTTCTGCGTCTGAAGATGTGTTGACGTTGAAGAGTTCTTGATCCTGGGAAGTTGAGCCTTCCCTCCCTTTCCTTAATAACAATCATATAAAATAATAATAATAAAATAGTATTAATAATAATAATAATAATAATAATAATAATAATAATAATAATAATAATAATAATAATGATAATAATAATAATAATAAATAATAATAATAATAATAATAGTTTAATAATAATAAATAATAATAATAATAATATAATGATAATAATAATAATAATAATAATAATAATAATAATAATAATAATAATAATAAAATAATAATAATAATAATAATAATAATAATAATAATAATAATAATAATATTAATAATAATAATATAATAATAATTATAATAATAATAATAATAATAATAATATAATATAATAATAATAATAATAATAATAATAATAATAAAACATTAATAATAATAATAATATAATAATAATAATAATAATAATAATAATAATAATACATAATAATTTAAAAATCATGATAATAATCATAATTATAAACTGCAAGATAATTGTAATATTGAGGAACAATAACATTAATAATGTTAATGTTGAGGTGCAGTAATAATGTTAATATTGAGGTGCAGTAATAATGTTAATATTGAGGTGCAGTAATAATGTTAATATTGAGGTGCAGTAATAATGTTAATATTGAGCTGCAGTAATAATGTTAATATTGAGGTGCAGTAATAATGTTAATATTGAGGTGCAGTAATAATGTTAATATTGAGCTGCAGTAATAATGTTAATATTGAGCTGCAGTAATAATGTTAACATTTGAGGTGCAGTATAATGTTAATATTGAGGTGCAGTAATAATGTTAATATTGAGCTGCAGTAATAATGTTAATACTGAGGTGCAGTAATAATGTTAATATTGAGGTGCAGTAATAATGTTAATATTGAGGTGCAGTAATAATGTTAATATTGAGCTGCAGTAATAATGTTAACATTGAGGTGCAGTAATAATGTTAATATTGAGCTGCAGTAATAATGTTAATATTGAGGTGCAGTAATAATGTTAATATTGAGGCTGCAGTAATAATGTTAATATTGAGCTGCAGTAATTAATGTTAACATTGAGGTGCAGTAATAATGTTAATATTGAGGTGCAGTAATAATGTTAATATTGAGGTGCAGTAATAATGTTAACATTGAGGTGCAGTAATAATGTTAATATTGAGGTGCAGTAATAATGTTAATATTGAGGTGCAGTAATAATGTTAAATTGAGGTGCAGTAATATGTTAATATTGAGGTGCAGTAATAATGTTAAATTGAGGTGCAGTAATAATGTTAATATGAGGTGCAGTAATAATGTTAATATTGAGGTGCAGTAATAATGTTAATATTGAGGTGCAGTAATAATGTTAATATTGAGGTGCAGTAATAATGTTAACATTGAGGTGCAGTAATAATGTTAATATTGAGGTGCAGTAATAATGTTAATATTGAGTGCAGTAATAATGTTAACATTGAGGTGCAGTAATAATGTTAATATTGAGGTGCAGTAATAATGTTAATATTGAGGTGCAGTAATAATGTTAACATTGAGGTGCAGTAATAATGTTAATATTGAGGTGCAGTAATAATGTTAATATTGAGGTGCAGTAATAATGTTGTCCCAGGTGGGGCTACACCAGCTTCCCGGGTCACAAGGCTGAGGTACTGCAGAAGGTGGAGATGCAGACGGTACCTCAGGAGGTGTGTAGGAGGCAGTATGAGGCAGGAGTGATCACAGACAACATGATCTGTGCTGCAGCTCTCAACAAGGACTCATGTTTTGTGAGTATGTCTTCTAGGAATGAGTATTGAGTGTTTGTTGGTGCTTGAGTGGTTCGTCAGACACTGCGTCCTGACACGGGTGTTGATGACTCGTCTGAGGATTTAGATGTCCGTCTATTTCAGTTGTTCTCAGGCCGCGGTCAGGGTTTTCTTGTAGTTCTTGTGTCTTAAACTCCAAAACTTTTTATATACGTCGGTTTACATGCGGCTGACAAAAACAGCCTGGTTGATCAGACCCTGATCCATCACGAGGCCTGGTCTCAGACCTGGCCGTAGGGGTGTTGGCCTCCGTAACCTTCTCCAGATACACTACAGTGAACTGAGACCATCTGGGTCCTGTGTTACGTAGTCGCACAAATTTGCTTATAAACCCACAAACTTGTACCGTCAAGATACATACTGGAGATGATACAGTAACACAGGACACACACACCAGGCTGTGTGGTAATATTATCCTGTACGAAGGCAGGGAAGCCGCCTCGAAACCATCGCTTTTAAAAATAAATATTTCAATACTTTTCAGTGACAGTCCCACCGAGATAGATTTAGATTTTGTCATCTAAGTTGCTATTTTATTGTGAACTCCACATCTATTCCGTGGAGAGTAGAGCAAGAGTACACAGGTACACAATAGGCCTAGGAACAAGGCCCGAAAGTGTTAAAAGGAGTATATCTGTGTATGAGAGTACCAAGTAGGGCGTTACCAGCAGTACTAGGCAGAACGTTACCAGCAGTACCAGGTAGGACGTTACCAGTGGTACCAGGTAGGACGTTACCAGCAGTACCAGGTAGGACGTTACCAGCAGTACCAGGTAGGACGTTACCAGCAGTACCAGGTAGGACGTTATCAGCAGTACCAGGTAGGATGTTACCAGCAGTACCAGGTAGGACGTTACCAGCAGTACCAGGTAGAACGTTACCAGCAGTACCAGGTAGGACGTTACCAGCAGTACCAGGTAGGACGTTACCAGCAGTACCAGGTAGGACATTACCAGCAGTACCAGGTAGGACGTTATCAGCAGTACCAGGTAGGACGTTATCAGCAGTACCAGGTAGGACGTCACCAGCAGTACCAGGTAGGAGATTACTAGCAGTACCAGGTAGGACGTTACCAGCAGTACCAGGTAGGGCGTTACCAGCAGTACCAGGTAGGAGGTAACCAGTAGTACCAGGTAGGAAGTTACCAGAAGTACCAGGTAGAACGTTACCAGCAGTACCAGGTAGGACGTTACCAGCAGTACCAGGTAGGACGTTACCAGCAGTACCAGGTAGGACGTTACTAGCAGTACCAGGTAGGACGTTACCAGCATTACCAGGTAGGGCGTTACCAGCAGTACCAGGTAGGAGGTTACCAGCAGTACCAGGTAGGACGTTACCAGCAGTACCAGGTAGGAGGTTACCAGCAGTACCAGGTAGGAGGTTACCAGCAGTTCCAGGTAGGACGTTACCAGCAGTACCAGGTAAGAGGTTACCAGCAGTACCAGGCAGAACGTTACCAGCAGTACCAGGTAGGAGGTTACCAGCAGTACCAGGTAGGACGTTACCAGCAGTACCAGGTAGGAGGTTACCAGAAGTACCAGGTAGGAGGTTACCAGCAGTACCAGGTAGGAGGTTACCAGCAGTACCAGGTAGGAGGTTACCAGCAGTACCAGGTAGGAGGTTACCAGCAGTACCAGGTAGGACGTTACCAGCAGTACCAGGTAGGAGGTTACCAGCAGTCCAGGTAGGACGTTACCAGCAGTACCAGGTAAGAGGTTACCAGCAGTACCAGGCAGGAGGTTACCAGCAGTACCAGGTAGGAGGTTACCAGCAGTACCAGGTAGAACGTTACCAGCAGTACCAGGTAGGAGGTTACCAGCAGTACCAGGTAGGAGGTTACCAGCAGTACCAGGTAGGAGGTTACCAGCAGTACAAGGTAGGAGCGTACCAGCAGTACCAGGTAGGACGTTACCAGCAGTACCAGGTAGGACGTTACCAGCAGTACCAGGTAGGACGTTACCAGCAGTACCAGGTAGGACGTTACCAGCAGTACCAGGTAGGACGTTACCAGCAGTACCAGGTAGGACGTTACCAGCAGTACCAGGTAGGACGTTACCAGCAGTACCAGGTAGGACGTTACCAGCAGTACCAGGTAGGACGTTACCAGCAGTACCAGGTAGGACGTTACCAGCAGTACCAGGTAGGACGTTACCAGATAGTAACAGGTAGTGACTGTTTACCAGCGGTATCCAGGTACGGACGTTACCATGCTAGTACCAGGTAGGACGTTACCACAGTACCAGTGGAGGTTAAGCATACCAGGTAGGACGTTACAGCGAGTACCAGGTAGGACTGTTACCAGCAGTACCAGTAGGACGTACCGGCATACAGGTAGGTACGTTCGGCACAGTACAGTAGGCGTTACCAGCATACATAAGCATGTCAGTACTACAAATAAAATGGAGTGAAGGTACAGGTAGGTTTACCAGGACGGGTCCTCTCCATGCTGGTACCCGGCACATACATGCTGGTACCCGGCACATACATGCTGGTACCCGGCACATACATGCTGGTACCCGGCACATACATGCTGGTACCCGGCACATACATGCTGGTACCCGGCACATACATGCTGGGACCCGGCACATACATGCTGGTACCTGGCACATACATGCTGGGACCCGGCACATACATGCTGGTACCGGCACATACATGCTGGACCCGGCACATACATGACTCGGACTGCAAATACATCGCAGTGGACCTGGCAATAACAAAAGCTCAGGTAACCCGGCAAATACGGTGCTGGTTAATCCTCGGCACTACATGCGATACTGTGCACATCATGAGCCCGGCACTACATGCTGGTACCCGGCACATACATGCTGGGACCCGGCACATACATGCTGGTACCTGGCACATACATGCTGGGACCCGGCACATACATGCTGGGACCCGGCACATACATGCTGGTACCTGGCACATACATGCACATACAGACTTTGCAAAAGCCTTCGACAAGTGTGACCATGGCGTAATAGAGCACAAAATGCGTGCTAAAGGAATAACAGGAAAAGTCGGTCGATGGATCTATAATTTCCTCACTAACAGAACACAGAGAGTAGTAGTCAACATAGTAAAGTCCGAGGCAGCTACGGTGAAAAGCTCTGTTCCTCAAGGCACAGTACTCGCTCCCATCTTGTTCCTAATCCTCATGTCTGACATAGACAAGGATGTCAGCCACAGCACCGTGTCTTCCTTTGCAGATTACACCCGAATCTGCATGACAGTGTCTTCCATTGCAGACACTGCAAGGCTCCAGGCGGACATCAACCAAATCTTTCAGTGGGCTGCAGAAAACAATATGAAGTTCAACGATGAGAAATTTAAATTACTCAGATATGGTAAACACGAGGAAATTAAATCTTCATCAGAGTACAAAACAAATTCTGGCCACAAAATAGAGCGAAACACCAACGTCAAAGACCTGGGAGTGATCATGTCGGAGGATCTCACCTTCAAGGACCATAACATTGTATCAATCGCAGCTGCTAGAAAAATGACAGAATGGATAATGAGAACCTTCAGAACTAGGGAGGCCAAGCCCATGATGACACTCTTCAGGTCACTTGTTCTATCTAGGCTGGAATATTGCTGCACACTAACAGCACCTTTCAAGGCACGTGAAATTGCTGACCTAGAAAATGTGCAGAGAACCTTCATGGCGCGCATAACGGAGATAAAACACCTCAATTACTCGGAGCGCTTGAGGTTCCTAAACTTGTATTCCCTGGAACGCAGGAGGGAGAGATACATGATTATATAGTACTGGAAAATCCTAGAGGGGCTAGTACCGAACTTGCACACGAAAATCACTCACTACGAAAGCAAAAGACTTGGCAGACGATGCAACATCCCCCAAATGAAAAGCAGGGGTGTCACTAGCACGTTAAGAGACCATAAAATAAGTGTTAGGGGCCCGAGAATGTTCAACTGCCTCCCAGCATACATAAGGGGGATTACCAACAGACCCCTGGCAGTCTTCAAGCAGGCACTGGACAAGCACCTAAAGTCGGTTCCTGACCAGCCGGGCTGTGGCTCGTACGTTGGTTTGCGTGCAGCCAGCAGTAACAGCCTGGTTGATCAGGCTCTGATCCACCAGGAGGCCTGGTCACAGACCGGGCCGCGGGGGCGTTAATCCCCGGAACTCTCTTCAGGTAAACTCCAGGTACCCGGCACATACATGCTGGTACCTTGCACATACATGCTGGTACCCGGCACATACATGCTGGTACCTGGCACATACATGCTGGTACCCGGCACATATATGCTGGTACCCGGCACATACATGCTGGTACCTGGCACATACATGCTGGGACCCGGCACATACATGCTGGTACCTGGCACATACATGCTGGGACCCGGCACATACATGCTGGTACCCGGCACATACATGCTGGTACCTGGCACATACATGCTGGTACCCGGCACATACATGCTGGTACCCGGCACATACATGTGGTACCTGGCACATACATGCTGGGACCCGGCACATACATGCTGGTACCGGCACATACATGCTGGACCCGGCACATACATGCTGGTACCCGGCACATACATGCTGGTACCTGGCACATACATGCATGGGACCGGCACATACATGCTGGTACCCGGCATACATAGGTACCGGCCATGATGGTATGCGGCACATACATGCTGGTACCCGGCACATACATGCTGGTACCCGGCACATACATGCTGGTACCCGGCACATACATGATGGTACCCGGCACATACATGATGGTATCCGGCACATACATGCTGGTACCCTGCACATACATGATGGTATGCGGCACATACATGCTGGTACCCGGCACATACATGATGGTATCCGGCACATACATGCTGGTATCCGGCACATACATGATGGTATCCGGCACATACATGATGGTATCCGGCACATACATGCTGGTACCCGGCACATACATGCTGGTACCCGGCACATACATGCTGGTACCCGGCACATACATGATGGTATTCGGCACATACATGCTGGTACCCGGCACATACATGATGGTATCCGGCACATACATGATGGTATCCGGCACATACATGCTGGTACCCGGCACATACATGATGGTATGCGACACATACATGCTGGTACCCGGCACATACATGCTGGTACCCGGCACATACATGATGGTATGCGACACATACATGCTGGTACCCGGCACATACATGCTGGTACCCGGCACATACATGATGGTATCCGGCACATACATGCTGGTACCCGGCACATACATGATGGTATGCGACACATACATGCTGGTACCCGGCACATACATGCTGGTACCCGGCACATACATGATGGTATGCGACACATACATGCTGGTACCCGGCACATACATGCTGGTACCCGGCACATACATGATGGTATGCGACACATACATGCTGGTACCCGGCACATACACGATGGTATGCGACACATACATGCTGGTACCCGGCACATACATGATGGTATGCGACACATACATGCTGGTACCCGGCACATACATGATGGTATCCGGCACATACATGCTGGTACCCGGCACATACATGATGGTATCCGGCACATACATGCTGGTACCCGGCACATACATGATGGTATGAGACACATACATGCTGGTACCCGGCACATACATGATGGTACCCGGCACATACATGCTGGTACCCGGCACATACATGCTGGTACCCGGCACATACATGCTGGTACCCGGCACATACATGCTCGTACCCGGCACATACATGATGGTACCCGGCACATACATGCTGGTACCCGGCACATACATGCAAGAGAATGAAAAAACACAGTCTATGTATATATAATAGAGAAAACAGGCCCCTGGTAAAGCTCAGGGAGTGTCATGTCATGTAAGAGTCGTGTCATGTCATGTAAGAGTCGTGTCATGTCATGTAAGAGTCGTGTCATGTCATGTAAGAACGTGTCGTGTCGTCTAAGAGTCGTGTCATGTCATCTAAGAGTCGTGTCATGTCATCTAAGAGTCGTGTCATGTCATCTAAGAGTCGTGTCATGTCATCTGAGAGTCGTGTCATGTCTTCTAAGAGTCGTGTCATGTGGCAGGAAGGAATTACATCGTTGAGATGGTGTAGTTACCATCTTTCTTCTATGGTATTGTTACTATGAGTTAGGGATGCATCAATACAGTGTTGTGTATCAGTGTTAGATTGTCTTAACATCAGCTCTGGGTTATTCCATCTCTTAAGATGTCCCTCTCTGGAACTGTGTAAGAAAAATATTTCTAATAATGGTAGAATTACGGACAAAATGTTAGGTAAATGGGCGCAGATGCAATTAATATGACATTTAATGTGGCAACGTTTTGCTCTACAGGAGCCTACAAACAAAGCTCATTAGAGAGCGAAATGTTGCCACAATAAAATGTCACATAAAGTAACATCTGTGTCCATTTATGTAACATAAACAATTTTGTTGTCATTTAGGTTTCACGTGGTTTTATGTTCCTGGGTTCGTGTAGAAAAATTCCTCCCTGTTTCTCCTACATAGATGTTGTTGCATCCTCCACATGGTAGTGTGTTAACACCAACTTAGTGGTGATGTCTCTGATGAACGTAAAGGCCATGGTAGCTACCTAGATGGTCTACCTAGCCGGAGTCTACCTTGACCAGGAGTCCTGGTGGATGAGAGCTTGATTAACCAGGTTGTTACTGCTGGCAGCACGTTTACCTAGAGTTTACCTGGAGAGGGTTTCGAAGTCAACGCCCCCACGGCCCGGTCTGAGACCAGGCCTCATGGTGGATCAGGGTCTGTTCAACCAGGCTGTTACTGCTGGCCGGATGCAAGCTTATGTATGAACCACAGTTCAGTTGGTCAGGTACTGACTTTAGGCGCCTGTCCAGTGCCTTTTTGAAGACAGCCAGGGGTCTATTGGTAATCCCCCTTATGTATGCTGGGAGGAAATTGAACAGTCTTGGGCCCCGGACACTTATTGTGTTGTCTCTATGTGTACTCGTGGCGCCCCTGCTTGTCATCGAGGGAATGTTGCATCTCCTGCTGAGTCGTTTGCTTTCACATGGAGTGATTTTCGTGTGCAGGCTTGGTACCAATTCCTCCCAAGTGTATATTATCATGTATCTCTCTCGCCTGCGTTCAAGGGAATACAGATCAAGGACCTTCAACCGATCCCAGTAATTTATGTGCCTTATCGTGCTTAAATGTACCTTGAAAGTTCTTTGTACACTCTCCAGGTCAGCAATGTCGCCAGCCTTGAAGGGGCCAGTTAGTGTACAGCAGTATTCCAGCCTAGAGAGCACAAACGATTTGAAGAAAATCATCATGGGCTTAGCATCCCTAGTTTTGAAGGTTCTCATTATCCATCCCATCAGTTTCCTAGCGGATAAGGTAGATACATTGTTGTGGTCATTGAAGGCGAGATCCTCTGACATTATCACTCCCAGGTCCTTCACATTACTTTTCCGCTCTATTGTATGGTTAGAATTTGTGGTATCCCCTGACACATTTTTAATTTCTTCAAGTTTTCCATATGGTACTTTAGCATCTCACTCATTTCTTGGCTATCATCTGTGTATGTCCCATCCTGCCTAAGCAGGGGCTCAATACTGGATGTTGTTTTTCCCTTAGATCTGGCATATGAGAAGAAGTATTTTGGGATTTTTTCATTTTCCTTTATGACTTTTAGTTCTTCCTGTGATTCTTGTCTCTATAAGATTCCTTCAGCTGAAGTTCGATATTAGCAATTTCATTGACTAGTGCCTCCCTTCGTATTTCAGATATATTGACCCCACTCAGCAGCTCTGTGACTCTTCGCCTTCGTCTGTATAGGGAACGTCTCCCTTTTTCTAGTTTACATCATCTCTTTCTTTTTCTTAATGGAACGTGTCTTGAGCAGATCTCAAGAACCGCAGAATTAATTTTGTCAAGGCAGATGTTCGGGTCCGTGTTGTTTAGGATATCTTCCCAGCTTGTTTCATTTAGGACATGGTTTACTTGATCCCACTGTATGTTTTTGAATTTCGTGAAGAGACCTTCATGACTGCTCTCATTTCGCTGGGCCGAAACCCTGTGCATACATATCTGTACCTGTATTATGTTGTGATCTGTGTGAATTGCTTTTGATACAGTTTTATTACTTATCAATTCACCATTGTTAGTGAAGATGAGGTCCAGCTCTACTATTTGCTGGTTTAAGGTGAATTTGGTGCAGAGATTTAATAGTTCGTGTGTGTGTAAATGTTCATCTGAGCTGCCTCCCGGGGTGATCTCTGCTAAAATATTGTTTGCTATACTCCTCCATTTTAGGTGTCTCAGGTTGAAATCTCCTAGTAGTAAGATGTTTGGGGCAGGAGTTGGGAAATTTTCCAGACAGTGGTCAATTTTCTCAAGATGCTCCTAGAATTGCTGGGAAGATGCATCTGGAGGCTTGTATACCACCACAATGACAAGGTTTAGGTTTTCGATATTTACCGCCAAAACTTCAACTACATCATATTAGGTGTTTAGTAGTTCTGTGCAAATGAGCGACTCTGTGACATACAGGCCAACCCTCCCCTTGTTGCCTGTTTAGTCTGTCGCATCGGAATAGGTTATAATCTGGGATCCATATTTCGTTGTCATAATGATCCTTCATGTGGGTCTCTGTGAATGCTGCGAACATTGCATTTGACTCCGTGAGCAGTCCCTTGATGTAAGGAATTTTGTTGTTTTTTGATGGCTTTAGACCCTGTATGTTTGCAAAGACAAATGTTGTATTGGGAGGTTTTATTTGCTGGCTCTAATATCTGTTGTTCTGGGGTAGAGGCCAGTGTCCGTGCCTCTGCTCCAGAAGTTTTTTCAGGTGGTGTAGGATTATTGTCATTTCTTGCAAGTCTTTTTTACCTTCTGGCCCTAAAAAACCTCTGTCCCTGGAGAGGCTGTGGCTCCTCTCTTGTTTCTCATAGTCTGGCTGGTCAGTGTCTTCTAGTCCCCTTTAGATGATGTGCCTGGCAGTATGCATTGTAGCATTTTCTTTCATGGATTGATGAGTGACACATTTCTGGGTGAAATATGTTGCAAGAAGGGAAGTTGCACTCTCCTGTTGTCATGTGGGTGCGGCATTTTTTGAGATGATCAAAGGTGCATGTCCCACCTGTTTTACCAGATGTACCGTGCCTGCACATACCCAAGGCATAGTATTTACATAGAATGTACTTTTGTTTACTAGGATTTATTGTAGCTGCGTTCACTGCTGGTGCAGGGGTCTATTGGTAGTTTTCCTTATGCCTGGTGGGAGATTGTTGAACAGTCTTGCACCCCAGACAGTTATTGTGTTTTTTCTTAGTTTACTCAGGGCTCCACTATATGCTAGCTTAAGGTTGCAGAGATTTAATGGCTCAACCCCAGCCGCAAGATATTTGGGGCTGGGGTTGGAAGATTTTCCAGACAGCGGTCATTTTTCAAAATATGTTCCTTGAACTGATGGGCAGAGGTATCTGGTGTCACGTATATAACCACAATGCCAAGGATTTAGTTTCCAGTCTATCAGTCTTGAAAAGACTGTCCTTTTACCGACACTTTTATGTCTCGTTCACCAGTGTTGATTACATTCTTGTGTATAATACTCAACTAACTCCGTAAATTTTCCTCTTCTAGATGTGAGTAAACATTGATTTGTTCCAGCCACTGTACCATGACTGGAACAAATATAGTGAGTCAGGTTTTAACATGAGTGTATGTACAGGATGACAGCGGTGGACCACTGATGACCAAGGTGGGACAACACTGGCAGGTGGTCGGTATCGTGTCATTCGGACCATCCACCTGTGGTAACCCCAAAGTATCTGGTGTCTACACTAAGATTATCAGTAAGTATCAGCACTAGTTGATAACATATGTATGTAAGAGTAAGATGACTTTATTCCGAAATGTTTCGCCTTCATAGTAGACTTCTTCAGTCGAGTACAGAGGACTGATTATATCATCTTAAGATGTCTACTGCTTCTACTGCCTCTTCTATATTCGACTGAAGAAGACTGCTGTGTAGGCGATACATTTCTGAGTAAAGTTATCTACCTTGTACTGAGCATGAATTAGATGAGGATAAAACATACAGTGCTTTTGACTCAAGAAATCGTAATGACACGATTGCAAACAAACCATACCCCCGGCCGGGATTGAACCCGCGGTCATAGAGTCTCAACACTCCAGCCCGTCACGTTAGCCACTAGACCAGCTAGCCACAATAAGATTCATCCAACTAGGTATATTTCTACACCATAGGAAAGTTAGCACAGGCACCTCTGTGACCACAAATGCAAGTTTTTACAGACGAATCTCCAGCTAGCGTGGCCGTGACGAACTCTAGCTCAAGTCCCTTCACTGCCGTCAACATGACTGGAGTTTTGAGACTCTATGACCGCGGGTTCAATCCCGGCCGGGGGTATGGTTTATACAGTGCTTTTGTCCGTCATGTCCCATGTTCTGAAAATGATTCCTGGTTGCCTAGCAATTACACCTGCTTCCCATGGAGGAGCACTGCAGTAGGCCTACTGGTCTATACAAGGCCGGACTTTCTCAAAACCAACAATTCCCACTCACCCATTACTCCAACCTATTCTCAGAGCTACTCAAGAATTTGTTTCAGTATCTCAGGTTCTGATCAAACCCAGCTGTTCTAACTCATATACTTGTGTGGTCTCTGAAGCTACCCAAAGCTTTGTATGCCCACTTGGGTTCACATTTCGTGGCACTATGGTGATGACACCTAGTGGCATAGGCCTACCAAGCTCAGCCCATATCACGCTACCTCATTCTCACTCTGGCATCCAACGTCACTCAGACAAGAAGCGTTTACTCCCTCACACTGCCTGTGTAGAAAACCCCAAACAAAGTAAGAAGCTTCCGAAGCCTATCATTCATTCCCACTACCAGATCTACACGCAAGAAGCTGTAATGGATTGTTTGCTAGTAGTTCTGGGTGTGATCTGACTGTTATGGGTGGCATCCCGGGGGTTGATGAGTTAAGATTAAATAACAGTTCCTGGCCCGTATATTCATCTGTATAAACTCTCAATAAACAGACCTATAAAGTGGAATATTACTAAATTAAGGTGAACGATATTCTAAGTTAAGTGATAGATCTATAAGTATATTTGAATTCATAGAAACTTTAATTGTGAACATAATGTATCAAACCAATTGTGATTCTGGTGTTTCTCCGACAGATTACCTTCCCTGGATCATCTCCAAGATTGGTGATGCTAAGACCTGTCCACCAGAGACTTGATCAGTGCTACTCTCCCTCCCTCCACCACACTCTCCCTCCCTCCACCACACTCTCCCTCCCTCCACCACACCAAGCTCCAACAACACCTTCTTCTGGACTGCAGAAACCAGGGATTGGCCAAGCCTTTTCTTAATAATGATTCCAAAATGTTACATTAGTGTCTCATAAGCAAGACATGTGTAACAGTTATTCAGAAACATTTCGCCTACACTGCAAGCTTCTTCAGTCGAGTACAGAAGAGTAAGAAGAAGCAGTAGAGATGGAAAGACGATATCATCAGTCCATCACTCCAGAAAACGTAGTTTCGAGGTGGTCAGTCCCTCAGCCAGGCGAAACTTGCAGAATAAAGATACCTAACAGTTGCGCTTGTGTATAACTTACCAACCTCTCGGTATTAAGTACCATTTAAATATACATTGATGTCTCAGTCTGCAACTTGTCGGCTAAACCATTTACATCACTGGATCATCTCCACCAATGGTGACTGTTAAACCTGTCCACCAAACACTAGATCATTTCCATCAATGGTAACTATTGTACGTGTCCACCAAACACTAGATCATCTCCATCAATGGTAACTATTGTACGTGTCCACCAAACACTAGATCATCTCCATCAATGGTAACTATTGTACGTGTCCACCAAACACTAGATCATCTCCATCAATGGTAACTATTGTACGTGTCCACCAAACACTCAACCACTGCAGCCTCCTCAACTTTCACTATTCTGGAATAACTTACATATCATATATTGATGACGACCCAATAAAAATGTCTTTCAATTTTGTTAATAATAACTCAAAAATCTGCATCAATGAAGACTATAAGTGTACACAGCCTGTACTGTCTGCACAGACAACCTATGCTGTCTGCCAGCTTAGTCCATATTTCGCGGCACTCAGGTGCTGCCCTCTGGGCCTGCCCAGGTCTGTGGGACGCTGGTCCCACACGCTCTCACTCTCACAGCGGCCTAGCAGCAAGACACAAGGCCTACTAGTTCTCTCCCTCGTGAGCATGGCCTTCCCGGCCATGGGCACAAACACACAAGCCTGTGTACCCACCACTACATTACAAATAAAGTAAGAAGCTCTGCAACAGCCTACCAAATAGTTTTGTTTAACATTGGTGGAAAGCGGTGGTCGCAGCAGTTGTGTTTGCCTGGAGAGAGGAAGGAAGAGATGAAGTCATCTTCACTTCATCACCCAACACAAGACACATCTGTCTCTCAGCGAGTTATTCTGATGTTGTGTCTGCACGTTTCATCATCCAGAAATTTGCCGAATTTCTTCGAGAATTGTAAGTGGCGTCCCAGTGACCCCACGCTACAGCATCCCATGCTGTTTCTCAAGTCACGTATTCAGCGTCACTTGTATGTTGCTGTTGTTGTTCAGCTCAGCACAGCTGTTTCAGCAAGCCAGAGGTGAGTTTTGTGGCGATTTCTGCGTCCAGTGTGCATGTCTCCCTGTGTTTGTGGGTGGGAGAGGAAGAGGAGAAAGTGGTTGTTCCTTGCCTCGCCCACGCTAGAGCTGCTGTACACTCACACCTCACCAGCCTACCATACTTCACCATGCCATCACTCCCTCTGCTGTGTCTTCTGCTGTTTTTTGTGTGAATTCATTGCCAGAGCTGTGCATCCGAGTGCCCGAGGCCACTCGAAGCTTCGTGAATCGGCATGCCACGTGGATCAGCAAGCCATGTGGATCAGCAAGCCACATGGATCAGCAAGCCACGTGGATCAGCAAGCCATGTAGATCAGCAAGCCACGTGGATCAGCAAGCCATGTGGATCAGCAAGCCATGTAGATCGGCAAGCGACGTGGATCAGCAAGCCACGTGGATCAGCAAGCCATGTGGATCAGCAAGCGACGTGGATCAGCAAGCCACGTGGATCAGCAAGCCACGTGGATCAGCAAGACATGTAGATTGGCAAGCCATGTGGATCAGCAAGCCATGTAGATCGGCAAGCCATGTGGATCAGCAAGTCACGTGGATCAGCAAGCCATGTGGATCAGCAAGAGACGTGGATCAGCAAGCCACGTGGATCAGCAAGCCATGTGGATCAGCAAGCCATGTGGATCAGCAAGCCATGTAGATCAGCAAGCCACGTGGATCAGCAAGCCACGTGGATCAGCAAGCAATGTGGATCAGCAAGCCACGTGGATCAGCAAGCCATGTAGATCGGCAAGCCACGTGGATCAGCAAGCCATGTGGATCAGCAAGCCATGTGGATCAGCAAGCCACATGGATCAGCAAGCCACGTGGGTCAGCAAGCCACGTGGATCAGCAAGCCACGTGGATCAGCAAGCCACGTGGATCAGCAAGCCATGTGGATCAGCAAGCCATGTGGATCAGCATGCCATGTAGATCACGACACCACGTGGATCCCGACACCACGTGGGTTGTGGGCGATGTCACGCGGATCTACAAGCCACGTGAGTTACCAAGCCAGATGTCGCAGGCCTCATGCTGTGGTCTGCTACACGCATCACAATGACGTCACCGATGCTGCTGCCCGACTTCATGACGTCATGATGTCTGCCTGATGTCACCTCGAGATGTCTGTTGATGTCACAATGCTGCTGACGTCACCTCGCAACGTCACGCCTGACATCACATGATGTCACATCGAGTGTTCTAGTAATTATTTCAGTATTGTCTAGAAGATTGAGAGAAGATATATGTCGTGTGTTAATTAATTCCTCTCAGTCAGTGTTCTCACATGTTAGTGTATGGCTTAGTGTCAGTTTTGTGCACAGAAAAGCATCTTTTGCTAGTTTAAGCCATGTTGTGCCCCGGGTGTGTGTAAAGTTTTCCATGTGTCCAGTGTGGTCTGCGGCCAGACCTGAGTAGCACCATTGTGTTAGTCACCCGGTGTGACCAGCACGTTTGACAGCTGATATTACTCAGCCCCAAACGACTGAACCCCTTTGTGCAGAAAGCTCTTATGCTCGTCGCTCATAGATGTTCTGCAGAATCGTACCTGATACGATTCCCAGACCTTCAGAGTGCAGTTATATGTAGAGAAACAAGTCTGGGGACGCTTAGGCTAACCTCTGCTATAACTCCAACTGCCGAGAGAATGACACTCGTCAAGCCGCAGTTAGCCATGTCGGCAGACGCTCTGTCAGCCTCGTGTCACAAGATTCAGTGAGCAGCCTGCACAAAGATGATGTCACTTTGACTGCTAGCTCGCTCACTGCAGTCTGGTGTATGATGTTACAACTCCCAGATGTTTCTCCCAGTCGTCTCTGCCACGACTCGCTCCACAACTTGCTCCATGCTCGCCGGCAGTGACAGCCCAGCGACAGTACCAGTCGAGAAGTGTCCTCCTGAATTGCTTGCCAGAAGTCCTGCCCAGTTGCCGAGTTTTGTCGACGCCTTACTCGAGGGCACCAGCATGTCGTGTCCCAGGTTGAGAGAAAACCTGCAGTGACTCCTACGATGACTGCTTCACCGTTCCAGAGGAGAAAATAGCCCGTTACGTCACAGCTCAGCCGCAGCGATGTCTCCTGTGTTGCAGCATCCGTCCAGATGCAGGAAGGCGTGCAGTGATGCCCCTCGACGCTCACTGCCTATGACCACGATGTTTAGCACACCCCACATGTTTTTTCTTCCCTCCCTGTAGGAAGTTTTTTTTTTCCATGTTCATATGTATATAAATATGTTTTTTTTATTTTGTGTTCTGTGCCCTGTTCCTACGAGAGAGAGACCGAGTTTTTTTACCATCATTATTGTCGCGTCGGGACGATGCGCGGTAGGTGGCCGAGCATATGTAGACAGCCTGTACTGTCTGCACAGACAGGCTATGCTGTCTGCCAGCTTAGGTCATATTTCGCGCCACTAAGGAGCTGCCTTCTGGGTCTGTCCAGGTGTGTGGGACGCTGGTCCCACACGCTCTCACTCTCTCAGCGGCCTAGCAGCAAGACACAAGGCCAACTAGTTCTCTCCCTCGTGAGCATGGCCTTCCCGGCCATGGGCACGACACACAAGCCTGTGTACCCACCATTACATTACAAAATAAAGTAAGAAGCCTCCGATGACCTTTATCATTGAACTCCGCTCTGCAACAGCCTACCAAATAATTTTGTTTACCATAAGTGTCTGTAGCAACACCGCCTTTTATTACTACTACTACTACTACTAATAATAATGATAATAAATAATAATAAAAATAATAATAATAATAATAATAATAATAATAATAATAATAATAATAATAATAATAATAATAATAATTATTATTATTATTATTAATAAAAAAATTAATGTCTTTATTATTACTAGTACATGTACAAGGTATACAAGTACAAGTACAAGGTATAAAAGTACAAGTACAAGGTATAAAAGTACAAGTACAAGGTATACAAGTACATGTACAAGGTATACAAGTAAAAGTACAAGGTATACAAGTACATGTACAAGGTATACAAGTACATGTACAAGGTATACAAGTAAAAGTACAAGGTATACAAGTACATGTACAAGGTATACAAGTACATGTACAAGGTATACAAGTAAAAGTACAAGGTATACAAGTACATGTACAAGGTATACAAGTACAAATACAAGGTACAAAAGTACAAGTACAAGGTATACAAGTACATGTACAAGGTATACAAGTAAAAGAACAAGGTATACAAGTACATGTACAAGGTATACAAGTACATGTACAAGGTATACAAGTAAAAGTACAAGGTATACAAGTACATGTACAAGGTATACAAGTACAAGTACAAGGTATAAAAGTACAAGTACAAGGTATACAAGTACATGTACAAGGTATACAAGTACATGTACAAGGTATACAAGTACATGTACAAGGTATACAAGTACATGTACAAGGTATACAAGTACATGTACAAGGTATACAAGTACATGTACAAAGTATACAAGTACATGTACAAGGTATACAAGTACATGTACAAGGTATACAAGTACAAGGTATACAAGTACATGTACAAGGTATACAAGTACATGTACAAGTTATACAAGTACATGTACAAGGTATACATGTACATGTACAAGGTATACAAGTACATGTACAAGGTATACAAGTACATGTACAAGGTATACAAGTACATGTACAAGGTATCCAATACATGTACAAGGTATACAAGTACATGTACAAGGTATACAGGTACAAGTACAAGGTATACAAGTACATGTACAAGGTATACAAGTACATATACAAGGTATACAAGTACATGTACAAGGTATACAAGTACATGTACAAGGTATACAAGTACTTGTACAAGGTATACAAGTACATGTACAAGGTATACAAGTACATATAAAAGGTATACAAGTACTTGAACAAGGTATACAAGTACATGTACAAGGTATACAAGTACATATACAAGGTATACAAGTACATATACAAGGTACACAAGTACTTGTACAAGGATTACAAGTACATGTACAAGGTATACAAGTACATATACAAGGTATACAAGTACATATACAAGGTATACAAGTATATGTACAAGGTATACAAGTACATGTACAAGGGGATAACCCGTACATTTTTACAAGGTAAACCGTACAAATTTCAAAGGGATAAAAAGTAT